AATTAAAACCCAACAAAATGGCACATAGGACAAGTCACAAGCGCGGACGTATAGAAAACACAACGCGATTGCCCTTTTTAAAATTTTGATCTAAGAATGTTCCACTCAAATGAAGTGCACTCGACAGAATTATCATGAATGGTCTCGTTCTGGCGTCGAACCAGAACTCTCCGCAGACGAGTGTGACCTAGAATTAATAGATTGACAGGGCCGAAGTGGTTGGTACCAGAGGATATCAGCCCTACTCCTCTAAACGCTCCACTAGTGTCGGCTGTCTCTCGCTAGATGGCAGCTCATCCGACCGCGGAGCCGCATGGGGATCTTCAAGCGAGTCTGTCTTCTCTCCTCCTTCGTCGCCACCGACATTCCTTCTTACTCGCTCGAGTAGCGACTCTACCGCGTCGAGAAGGTCTTCGTGATCGATAACATGTACACTTTTCTCCGACTGGAATATGTAATGGGTCCTGAGAACCAAGCGAAATAGATCAACATCGAGTTTGAATTCGGCCTTCTCGGGGAAAGTTTGTGCCGCTCAATTCACACACAAAGAAGTGCCATGAAGAGACCAGACGGCTGAATCCGATAATGCAAGGTCCTGGGGATAAGGACTGCTAAGTTCAGTAACCGAAGAAAACGACTTCCTTGCCCGCACTCACTCCGCACTGGTACTTCCTTCATCAAGATCTTGGTTGTTCAGGTCCTCAGCAGTCTCTCCAGTACCGCCGGTAGCGAGCTCAAGAGCGGATTGCACGGCAGCTGAGAGCGTGTTGCTGTCAAGCTCGCGATCATTCAGATCTACACTGATGACGGTCGCCTTTGCCCTGAAGTGCAACCATGTTTGCCTGCTCTCTCCAAGTCATCGGAGATTAGAGCTGTTCAATCTCGTGAATACGCAGCGGTAAAAGCAACGGAACGAATCCGAGGTGATAGTCACTCCACAAGCCGAGCCCGTTCAGCATGGGAATTCTTAATGCTGACACCGCGGAGCCTACTTGGGCTTCTTGATCGCCTTTTGATGGAATCTATTGTGCATCATATCCAGTA